CTCTGTGCAGACCCTCAGCCAGAGGAAGCCCCCCACCCCGTTCCCGAAAGGCTCGGACCTGCGCAGCGCGAAGTCACGCGCACCCCCTCCCGCGCCAGCAACTGCCTCTAGCTGCCGGTGCGAGCCCCCCTGCGCCCGCCCCCTCCTCTCTCCCCACTTCAGCCCCAGACACCTTCCCGGGGACTGCCGTCCGGCTGCATCACCCTCTCTCTCCTCTCCCCCTCCAATGCCCCTGCGCTCAAGGCGCCGCTTCTCCTCGCCCTCTCTTGCCCTGCCTCAGCGCGCACTGAGGAAAAAGAGTAGTAGCCACCGGGACAAGCCCTGGAAAAGTGCACGAGCGAGCGCCGGGGGGCGCCCCCTGGGAAGGAAAGGCCTGGGACTGGCCGCAGGGGGGCCAGGACGGGGAGAGCGAAAGGTCTTACCTGCACTTGAGCTGCTTTGGGTGACTTTCCAAGTACAGGGAAATGTATGTGTTTGGGATGGAGGCTCACAGCGCGCATGCGCCATCTAAGTTGCCCTGATCCGGGATTTTTTTTCCCCCCCACTCCGTCTCTCCATTTTGCTTTAATTATTGAATTTTCCAATTTCTACCAGGGGGGCAGGCAGCTCGCAAAACCCGGGCTGGAGTTTCGCCACCAACTGCCCCTCTCGACGCTGAAAGTAGGGAAGAGGAGGGAGATTAGTAGGGCGGGGAAGGAAAAGGCATGGAATGGACTTATTTCCCAAAGGCAGGGAACTCTAGGTAAGGAGAGGCGGCTGTAAAACCCGGAGTGGAGATAAGCACCCTGCCAACACTTTTTTATTCTTACTCATCTCCTCCGCCCCCCTGCTGGCAATTTCTCCCCTTCCGACCAGACCGTAGTGCTCTTCTGGCCTGCGTCCTTTTCCAAAATAACCTGGCTGAACTTTGCCATCTTTGTCGCCAAACTGTATCTAGATTATATCCCTTCGATGCCCTGCCTTGTGCCTTTATTACGCGCTAACAAAGAGTTTCAGGACAAGCATCCTGTTCTGGCCGATCCAGCTATAGGGTCTGTCATGGTACAGGGAGGTCTCTGCCCAGCATTTTAACACCGACCGACCGGCATAAATCTAAACGACTCCAGTTTATCACCTGTGGATCGGCGCTACCCTCAAGGCTGATCTCCAGGACACGAGAGAGGCGTCTCTTGCCATCAAATTGCCTCAGAGCACGTACGGTGCTCCTATGTGTCAGGGGAAGACTAAGAGCGTGACTGGGCTTAGCACGCTGTTTCACAAATGGCATAAAAGTCTCTTAAAAGAAGAGAGACTGGATATTTCCGCTCTTCAGTTAGGTAAGCGCTTTTGCTCAGGAAGAAAGGGGTCCGTGGCCACTTTGGCAAGGGCTTTTTCAGGGGGCCCTGGATTCAGTTTGCAAAGAAATGCAAACTTGCTGCCTATAGGGATGTCTTTTTAGCCCACAGGGAATAAAAATGATCTGTTTGCCCACAGATGTTAGTTATCATGCTTTTTAAAATCCTTTCTGCTCTTTTCTCTTTCCAACACTGTTTCAACTATTTTAGGTTTGATGTCTTTGCCTCAGGTAGATGCTTCGTGATTTTAATGTTTATTTGGGAACAAACCAGTATACTTTTTATTGATTAGCTGTACAGAAATATTTTAGATTGACAAGTCCTGTTAAGATTTACAGCCACCAACACTACGAAGAAAAGGGTTTCCCCATCTTTACAGAGGTGCTGAGCAATTGCTTCCTCTGGCAGGACAGAAAGACAACTGGGGCGCAATTGGAGCCCCAGGCTAGACATGGCCAGTTTTGTGGGGACAATGGGACCTCCTATTATTTCTGTGCAGTTAAACAGACACCTTAGCAAGCCCGCTCCCCCGCTTGGCTCCTTCATTAAGGCTAAGTCAATTTGGCCTTAAATCCCACAGAAATGTATGGTGCTATTCTTATCCTTATCATCAACAAGCAAGAACAAAGGAAGCCACCTTCTACCAAGCTGGGCCATCTAACGCAACGCCCCACTTCAGAAGACACCTCCCATCTTTTCAGACCTGAAACCTAGGCATTCTGAGGACAATTTCTCCATTTTTTGAGCCACACGTGGATGGGGATAATGCTACTGGTGAGCTCCACCAGAGATACAGTCATGGTCCACCAGGTGGATCAGTGGACTACATAAACTGAAAGCCAGGCACAAGCCTTTCCCAGCACTTCCAGAGACGTTCTGCACACCAAGCAGGGGCTCTGTTACCAAACAGCAGACTTTCTATATAATAAACTAAAAAAATGTGTTTGCTCCAGGTAGAAACCCCCCAAACTTTCTCTTGTTTCCAAAGAAACAAAGAGGCTGAATGGCTTTCTGGAATACAATCATGGCTCTGTAGTTGCAGTGGAAAACTTTCCTAAGCTTAGGGCATAGCTATAGGACCCTGCTTGTGTGTTGTGTAACTAGATAGTAATGTAGATGGAGCAATAAAAAATAAATCAATGAGTAGAACTAAACAGACCACCATGGTACTCTTTTTTCAATGAATATTCCACAGGTTCTAAGTTTTGACACAGAAATACTAACCCTTGGTTCCAACTGAGCTGTCCAACACCTGTAGCAAGTGCAGGGAAATGGTGGGGAAGACCCCATTCTCATTTCCCCAGGGGTTCACCACCTGACTATAGGAAGTTCAGGAGGAAAGCACAATGAGAATGTTCTTCCATTGACTTGTCAAATCCTTAACAAAACAAAAAAGGGAGGGTGGCAGAGTCACATCTTGTTAATCACATTTCAACCCAAAATCTATCCCTGTCAGTTCTCTGGGAATCTAAGAGGGGATAGTGAATAGTGTTTAGAAAATCTGTTGACTTTCTCTCTAGAATTTTTAGAATGGGAAAGTGAGGGTAATAATCCTGAAGCCCCATGAGGCTCCTGAGGGGCTTTGAATTTAAGGATGGCAGTCCTTAACGTGCCACGTTGGGGCTTTGGGCAGTTGCTGCCAGCAGCTTCTGCTTTCCTGCTGCAGAACTTTTTCATGGGAAAACTGAGAGCTTCTCCACTCTGTCCAAACCCTCTTTGACAGCAGAACCAGGAGCCACAATAGTTCTGCAAGTCTAAGGCCTTTATTAAACACTGTGTGACTTACTTTGAGTAAATATGCTAATGTATCTAACATGATGAGAATGAGAAGAAATGTGCTGCTTACTTGCTACACTAACACCACATTGAATTTCTCTCCAATTCTCCCTTTCTCTGGAAAAAACTAAATAAATGAACTGCTCAAAAGCAGCAGCCTCTCTTCAGCATTAAATGCTGTCATATCTGCTTTCATTTCCCCCCTTATTGTCAGTTTACCAAAAGCAATTAGAGCATATCAGAGAACCACTGTTTGCCAAGTGCCATTTTCTCACATGAAACTTTTGCTCTTGGGTTACACATTATTAAAAAAAGAAGAAAGAAAAAGTCTTAATCAGGCAAATATTTACATGAAAGGCTAACTTTCCCTCCACATACACACGCACATACCACACCATAGCTGCTGAAAACGGATAAAAATTCCAACAGTGCTGATGGAACAAAAGCTCCAAATACAAAATTGCCACCTGAACTTCTTGAATAGCCAGGTTGTTTTTCTTTGCTTTTTAATCAATTTCTAACCCTTGCCCTTCTGCCAGGGTAGATTGCCCTCATAAGGCAGTCTACTGAAATAAAACTTAAAACATTTAGAAACACGAAGTCCCATTCAGACCCATTAGTTAAAAATAGTGGCATTAAAACATTTCAGGCCTTACACATTTAGTAGTAGTAGTAGTAGTAGTAGTAGTAGTAGGTTTTGTATTTGGAATTTTGCTGCATCTTACTTTAAACTGCTTGGAGAGAGCTTTCCTATAGCATTGCAAATAATATAATAAGCAGCAAAACTCAATTCTGACTGCCTGGGATCCTTCAAGAGTTCACGTGCAGGTAGCTGAAGGTGGGAGGGCCTGTCTGCTGGAGACCCCACAGGGCTGTTGCCAGAGGGCAAGATGGACCATTAGTCTGATTCATGATAAGACTGCTTCAGATGGTCCTCAAAAGTTTAATTTGATGATTCACCTCCTCTTTAGCTTTAAGGCAAAATATCAAGCATACATTTCTATACTGTTTAGCTATAATATCTAGGTATTATTCTGGTTCTTATCAGATTTATAAACTGCTTTGTACTATAACATATTAAGAGCAGCAGTAGTAGTAGTAGTAGCAGTAGTATCATCATGTGGTTATATTGATGGATATAAGGGGCCTTGTGTATAATATAAGGGATATATTGAGGGGAGCGTGTGTTGCAGCACCCCCGCCCCAAAATCCAAGTTGTACTTAGGTCCTTTTTCCATTCCATTCTTTCCCTCTGCAAACTTACATATCTGATAATCTCTCTCAAGAAATAATTTACAATGGTGGCTCAACTGCTACTTTGCTGGGTTCTTTAGCACCACACTTGGAATGCCCATTCTCTGCCCCTGAAGTCCTTTGCTCATTTGAGAGTTAATATGGTTCTTTCTAATCAGTTGTTAAATAGGGCCTCACATGGTCTGCTGCAGCTGGTATGCTTTTAGTGTTTGCTCCCAGTTTATTGTTTTGTTCCCATTCAGAAAGCAATGTGTTGCATTGCTCAAGGCCACCCCGTGAGTCAGCAGTGGGAAGAAAGCTAATAGGAAAGAACCCAAAAAGTGTTTGGGCTGCAAGGAATTTTGGATCCATCCTTCTCTTTTTCCCTTCTTTTTAGATCTCTTTCATCAAACAGATTCAGGATCGCATCAAAAAGCCAATAAATTCTAGAGCAGGGAGAAATTTGCTTTCAGAAAACTTCTTCTCCATGATGCACAATGTGGTGAAGAGCCACTAGCTTGAGGTATAATGATATATCAATGGTGATTAGCCATACAAATGAATGGAAATTCCATGTTCTATAAAGCAGCCTGTCACCTCCAGTTTCTGGGGAACAGCAGAAGCGAGAGCTGTTGTCTTCAGGCTGTCTTTGGGGATTCTGGAAGAATCTCCTTGGCATAGTAGGAAGAAGGATGTTGAATGAGTTTGACCTTTGGACTCATCCGGCAGCACCCTTCTTAGGCTCAAATGCTGAACATTCACTAGAAATTCCTTGAATATTTGACATGCAGCAATTTTTTTAAAAAGGTATACAATAACTTGGCTTCGATACCTGATTTAATATTAGAAGGTAGTAAATGTGGCAGGAAAGGAGGTGACGGCCACCTGAAAGGCTAAATTGGAGACATTATTTATGATCAAAACAATAAAGTAGTGGGGGGGGGGAGACAGAGAGGGAAGCCTATATCCAGACAAACCAATGTTAAGTAATGACAAAGTCATTTTCCTTTTATTATTTTTCAATAGGGTACATATGTTGAATGCCTGTTCCATTTTTTCTCCAGGGCCTGCTCGCTGTTCCCATCTAATCTACACTACAGATTTCAATGCCTTGAATGGAGAAGGAGAAAGAGGTTGTCAGGCCTCCTGCACATAAA